AATTTACAAAGCATTGTCTTAGATATTTTTTTTAACATCCTTTTGTCTCTAATATCTATTTAAATATTATTATTTTTTTAAATATGTTGGGCCCACTTAGCCCGCGGGCCGGGACCAAACGGTCCCGGTCCCTACAAAAAGCCTGTTTGGCCCGGGCCCGCTTGGCCCGTTTAATTTGGGACCGGCCCGGGACCGTTTGAACCGGCCCACTTGGCCCGTTTAGGCCCGGGACCGGCCCACTTGCCAGCCCTAGCCGTATATAATTAATTTCCTGGTACAAAGAAAGGTGAATAACATTTTCCTTTGGTTACGCCGAAGTTGGGGATGGAAAGAAAACTCGCGTTATTACCTGAATATATCCCGGAATTATCTATTTAGTTCGCCATTTGACCGCTCTTTCTTTTTGTGTGTGTTATATTGGATACATTGCCTGAATTTGATCTAAAACAAAAGGAAAAAGATGCTTGTACGCACATTACATTTGCTAACTCATGAATCGATCAAAAGCTACTTCGATGAAGCTTCCTTTACATTCCGTTTTCATTCAATTTTCTACTGAAAGTTATCCATTCAATTTGGAAAGAGAAAAACAACAAAGTTTTCAACAAAGAAGAAAGAAGTGCAGACAGCATAGCCAAGGAAATAGCTTGTGTCTGTCACATTAGAGCGTTTGTAGTGTCTAGGAGCTTTGTTTTTAGAGTAGTTGGATAAATTCTATTTGATTTTGTGCTTCTACTATTTTTGGTAGAAGGGTAAGAAGAAACTCTCCCTAGGAGGTGTGCTTTTTAGCTCTTATTAAGACAGGATTAGCAGAGTGTTTCTTTTGTTTTGAGATACTGATTGACAGAAAGCTGAGATGGCTTAACTGTGGGTTTGTAATATATTCACTTGGTGATAAATAAAATTCTTAATTACCAAAAAAAAAAAAAAGGTTCTCATTAAAGGTATCATTGGAATCCAAAAATTAAGAATTTCCTTATTAGGAATGGGTTTGTTCTTTTTGAAACTGACTAAAAAAGAAATAAATTCACATAAATTGAAATGGACGGAATATTAAAAACTAAGTGTTTATTATGGCTTTTCTTTTTTCCAAAGGACGTTATACAGGGCCACACTAACTTCAGTCTCCAAATCAAGTACACTGTCGCTCGCTGATCTGTAATGGCCCTTTTGGAAAAGGGGAAAGACCATAATAAGTATTTAGTAATTATACTCTCTTGCCTCTATCTTCTTTATTTGGGGGGGGGGAATACTCTCCTTTGAAAATAAAGTAATGTATTAAGAAATTGGATATGTCATAATATTGCAAACCAAACTTAAAATGCGTTTGAATATTTATTGAAAAATTGTAGCCATCATAGTCAAGGAATCTCTTTTTCATTAGCTTATAAAATTGGATAGGGAGAAATTAAATTTACTGTTGTTGGTTATGTTACAACATTAAGAACTCGATGAAGAAATAAGGGTATGAAGTGTTAGTATCCTTCCCAACTATGATGGATTATTAAATTTGGTGTTATTGGAGCAGTTAATGGAGCCAGGTGCAAGGGGGTCTTATTTGAAGGATTCAGAGGAGACAGAAATGTACAAGAAGCATAAGGATAACACGGAGTGGTATACGATTGAGCACTTAGCAAAAGATTACAGGATCATGAGGCAGAGGATTCATGCAATTCTATGGCCGAAGGAATTTGAGGAGGAGGAAGAGAAGAAGCTTGGACGTCCATTAGATGATTCTGTAGAGCTCTTGCTTGATACTTGCCCAGAGTAAGTCATCCCTCCGAATCATTCGAGATTTTGTCGTTAGATATTACTTTTGTCCAAGTTTAATCTGTTCTTTTTTGTACCTTATTTTTAGTACCATCTTGGTTACCTTTTATAAAATTTTACCTTATAAAAAAGTACTATTATTGTAGTTTTGTTACACCAGCATTAGCGTTAGTGCCATATATGATTGGTTAGTGATGGGTCCATCCCATAATTTAAGGAAGATGACTTTCTTCCTTCGATAAAGACTTCTAAGTCTTGTACAAAATTGGCGGCCACCGTTTCTTTTGATATTATCAACATTGGAGGCGTGAGAGGAAAATATCAAATATAATAAGCGTGAGAGAGTTCGGCTCTGCTTATAAAGGGAGAGCTTCGGCTCTCATCTCTACACATCAATCTCAGAGGAAAAATATCTAAGAGTTAGAAAGAAAGAGTGAGGTTTCACAGACAGGGTATAAGAAAATAGTGTGTGAGAAAAATAGAGAGTGAGCGATATTGTAGTGAGGTGGGAATATCAAACGAGAGTTATTTCTTTTGAGTGTTGTAGTGGTCTTTGGAGTATTTTACTCGAACCTGCAAAGTGTAAGAATTCCTTGCTATAGTGATATCAGTTGCTCCTCTCGGGATCGTGATTTTTTCCCTTATTAGAAAAAGTTTTTCACGTAAAAATCTTGGTGTCGTTGTCACTCTTTTATTCTTGTTAATTACCGTATCCCGGTGCTACGTTATTATTCCACTTTTATTACCGTGAATATTATTTCTGTAGGGGGTTTATTTCCAACAACTGGTATCAGAGCACAGGTTTTGCTCGTTCACAGAAATACTATTCAATCTCGGTAGTACTATACTCGGTGAAAAACAAAAATGTCCGAAGTAAAGTACGAGGTAGCAAAATTCAACGTAGATAATGGTTTCTCAACATGCCAAAGAAGGATGAGGGATCTGCATGTTGATGCCAAAAAGCCTGATACCATGAAAGCTGAGGATTGAGCTGACTTAGATGAAAGGGCTGCTAGTGCAATCAGGTTGCGCTTATCAAATGATGTGGTAAATAACATCATTGATGAAGACACCGCACGTGAAATTTGGATAAGGTTGGAAAGCCTATACATATCCAAAATGCTGATAAATAAATTGTACCTGAAGAAGTAATTATACGCCCTACACATGGGTGAAGGTACGAATTTTTTGTCACATTTAAATGTGTTTAACGAACTAATCACATAGCTCGCCAACCTCGGAGTAAAAATCGAGGAAGAAGATAAAGTCATCTTGCTATTAAACTCGTTTCCATCTTCGTACGATAATTTGGCAACAACCATCCTGCACGGTAAGACTACTATTGAGTTGAAAGATGTCACATCGGCTCTTCTACTCAATGAGAAGATGAGAAAGAAGCCTGAAAATCAAGGACAAGCTCTCATCACAAAAAGTAGAGGCAGTGGTTATCAAAGGAGTTCGAGCAACTATGGTAGATCCGGAGCTCGTGGGAAGTCTAAGAACCGATCCAAATCAAGAGCTAGAAATTGCTACAATTATGGTCAACCAGGTCACTTCAAAAGAGATTGCCCAAATCCAAGGAAGGGCAAAGGTGAAACCAGTGGCCAGAAGAATGACGACATCACAACCGCCATGGTGCAAAACAATTATAATGTTGTCCTCTTTATAAATGAGGAAGAGGAATACATACACTTATTAGGTCTAGAGTCGGAATGGGTGGTTGATACAGCAGCATCTTACCATGCCACACCGGTAAGAGATTTTTTTTGCAGATATGTAGCAGGTGATTTCGGCACTGTGAGAATGGGTAACACAAGTTACTCAAAGATTGCGGGGATTGGTGACATTTGTATCAAGATAAATGTCGGATGCACATTGGCTCTAAAGGACGTGCGACATGTACCTGATTTGCGGATGAACTTGATCTCGGAAATTGCTTTAGACAGAGATGGATACGAGAACTATTTTGCAAATCAAAAGTGGAGACTCACCAAGGGATCATTGGTGATTGCAAAGGGAGTTGCTCTTGGCATATTGTACAGGACATATGCATAAATATGCCAAGGTGAATTGAACGCGACACAAGATGAGATTTCTGCAGATTTGTGGCATAAATGGGTCATATGAGCGAGAAGGGATTGCAGATTCTTGCCAGAAAATCACTCATTTCTTATGCCAAAAGTACAACGGTAAAACCTTGTGACTACTGTTTATTTGGTAAGCAGCATAGAGTCTCATTGATGTCTGAAAGAAAATTGAATATACTTGATTTGGTATATTCTGATGTTTGTGGTCCAATAGAAATTGAATCGATGGGCGGTAACAAATATTTTGTTACTTTTATTGATGATGCTTCATGAAAATTATGGGTTTATATTTTGAAAACCAAAGATCAGGTGTTTCAAGTTTTCCGGAAGTTTCATGCTATGATGGAAAGGGAGACGGGCCAAAAGCTAAAGCGTCTCCGAAGTGACAATGGAGGTTAGTACGCTTCAAGGGAATTTGAAGAGTACTGTTCGAGCCATGAAATCAGACATGAAAAGACAGTTCCTGGAACCCCACAACACAATGGCATAGCCGAAAGGATGAACCACACCATTGTGGAGAAGGTGAAAAGCATGCTCAGAATGGCTAAACTGCCTAAATCATTCTGGGGTGAAGCAGTTCGGCCAGCATGTTACCTGATCAATAGGAGTCCATCAGTTCCGTTGGCGTTTGACATCCTAGAGAGAATTTAGACCAATAAGGAGGTGTCCTACTCGCATCTGAAGGTGTTCGGTTGCAGAGCTTTTGCACAAGTACCAAAGGAGCAGAGAACAAAGTTGGATGATAAATTTGTTCCCTGCATATTCATCGGATATGGAGATGAAGAGTTCGGATACAGATTGTGGGATCCTATAAAGAAGAAGGTCATTATTTCTAACCTTGTTACTATTCCTTCAACTTATGACAATCCCACAAGTGCATAAAGTACGATCGACGAGTTTGCCGAGTATGGGGAGCAACCTGGTGAGGTTATTGAGAAAGGGGAGCAACTTCATGATGATGTCGAGCAAGTGGAGTACCACACTCAGGAAGAAGAACAACCTCAACTCATGCAGGTACCCTTTCACAGAGTATGTCTTCATCAGTGATGAAGGGGAGCCAAAAAGTCTTAAGGAGGTGTTGTCTTATTCAGAAAATAACCAGTGGATGAATGCCATGCAAGAAGAGATGGAATCTCTACAGAAAAATGGCACGTACAAGCTGGTTGAACTTCTAAAAGGTAAAAGACACTCAAATTCAAATGGGTCTTTAAACTCAAGAAAGATGGAAATGAAAAGCTAGTCAGATACAAAGCTCGATTGGTGGTTAAAGGCTTCGAACATAAGAAAGGTATTGATTTTGATGAAATTTTCTCACCTGTTGTCAAAATGACTTCTATTCGAACAATTTTGAGCTTAGCAGCTAGCCTAGATCTTGAAGTGGAGCAGTTGGATTTGAAGACTGCATTTCTTCATGGAGATTTGGAAGAGGAGATTTATATGGAGCAGCCAAAAGGATTCGAAGTAGCTGGAAAGAAACACATGGTGTGCAAATTGAATAAGAGTCTTTATGGATTGAAGCAAGCACCAAGTCAGTGATACATGAAGTTTGACTCATTCATGAAAAGTCAAACATACATAAAGACCTATTCTGATCCATATGTATGCTTCAAAAGATTTTCTGAGAATAACTTTATTATATTGTTGTTGTATGTGGATGACATGTTAATTGTAGGAAAAGACAAGGAGCTGATCGCAAAGTTGAGGGGAAATCTATCCAAGTCATTTGATATGAAGGATTTGGGCCCAACACAACAAATTCTGGGTATGAAGATAGTTCGAGAGCGAACAAGTAGAAAGTTGTGGCTGTCTCAGGAAAAGTACATTGAACGTGTACTGGAACGCTTCAACATGAAGAATGCTAAGCCAGTCAGCACACCTCTTGCTAGTCATCTAAAGTTGAGCAAGAAGATGTGTCCTACAACGGTGGAGGAGAAAAGGAACATGGCTAGAGTTCCTTATTCTCCAGCAGTCGGAAGCTTGATGTATGCAATGGTATGCACCAGACCTGATATTGCTTATGTAGTTGGTGTTAGCATATTCCTTGAAATTGGGAAACAGTCAAGTGGATACTCATGTACCTAAGAGGTACTGTAAGAGATTGCTTGTGTTTTGGAAGATCTGATCCAATCTTGAAAGTGATCTTGATAATCATAAATCTACTACAGGATACATGTTCACATTTTCAGGGGGAGCTATATCATGGCAGTCAAAATTGCAGAAGTGTGTTGCACTCTCTACAACTGAAGCAGAGTATATTGCCACTACTGAAGCTGGCAAGGAGATGATTTAGCTGAAAGGGTTCCTTAGAGAGCTTGGACTACATCAAAACGAGTATGCCGTCTATTGTGACAGTCAAAGTGCAATAGACATGAGCAAAAACACCATGTATCATGTAAGGACGAAGCATATCGACGTGAGATATCACTGGATTCGAGAAAGAATAGCGGATGGATCTATACATGTCAAGAAGATCCATACAAGTGAGAATCTTTCGGATATGCTGACAAAGGTGGTACCAAGAGACAAGTTCGAGCTATGCAAAGAACTTGTCGGCATGCACTCAAACTAGAAACTCTGATTTTACCTCCTTCAGGCAAATGAGACTAGAGGGGGAGAATTGATGGGTCCATCCCATAATTTAAGGAAGATGACTTTCTTCCTTTGATAAAGACTTCCAATAGCATGTTTGGCCAAGCTTCTAAAATCAGCTTATTTTGAGAAGTGTTTTTATCAAAAGTACTTTTTAAAAAAGTATTTTTGGTGAGAAGCAGTTTGTGTTTGGCTAATTAATTTGAAAAACACTTTTGAGCAATAATTAGTGTTTGGCCAAGCTTTTGAAAACTGCTTTTAAGTGTATTTTTTTCAAAAGTGCTTCTCAGAAAAGTGCTTTTGGAGAGAAGTTTTTTTCTGCTTCTCAAAAACTGTTTCTGATTCTCCTCAAAAGTACTTTTTTTCCTTCCAAAAGCTTGGCCAAACAAAAAGCACTTTTGGCCCAAAAAGAAGCTTGGCCAAACAGGCTATAAGTCTTTTTCAAAATTGACAGCCACCGTTTCTTTTGATATTGTCAACATTGTAGGCGTTACACGAAAATGTCAAATATAGTAGGCGTGAGAGAGTGTGGCTCCGCCTATAAAAGGAGAGCTTCGGCTCTCATCTCTACACACCAATCTCAGAGGAAAAATATATCTGAGAGGTAGAAAGAAAGAGTGGTGTTTCACAGACAGGGTATAAGAAAATAATTTGTGAGAAAAATAAAGAGTGGGCGATATTGTAGTGAGGTGGGAATATCAAACGAGAGTTATTTCTTTTGAGTGTTGTAGTGGTCTTTGAAGTATTTTACTCGGACCTGCAAAGTGTAAAAATTTCCTTGATATAGTGATATCAGTTGCTCCTCTCGGGGTCGTGGTTTTTTCCCTTATTTAAAAGGGTTTTTCACGTAAAAATCTTGGTGTCGTTGTCACTCTTTTATTCTTGTTAATTATCGTATCTCGGTGCTACGTTATTATTCCGCTTTTATTACCGTGAATATTATTTCTGTTGGGAGTTTATTCCCAACAGTTAGTCCATGGTATATCAAATTGGCTTCAGTAGTGGCTTATCGCTGATCGAGTGAAGCTGGGGCTGAAAACTTTTAGAATTCTGATTGTGTGTGTGTTCTTTTAGGGCATTCAGAATATTAAAGGAGCATGTGTTCGTTATATTTACAACAGGTGTTAGTGACATAATTATTGGCTGACCACAATGTGACTGAGATTGGTGGAAATATTTTGAAGTAATAAAATAGTCTTGCACTTTCCTGAGAAATAATAGTAACAGGCAAATTCAGGTAATCAATAGAATCCCTACCTCTGAAATCAATCTTATCAAAAAGAATAAGAAAATCCCTACCTCTCAAACAATNGAGTTATTGATTTTTTTTTTATATTTAAACCTTTTAGCTGCTTAGGATCTGATTTGTACAATTAGTTGATAAATGGAAAATGTTTCTGCTTGAAAGCTGCTGTAGAACAAATTCTCTACTATTGAATTGTTTAAATAAGTAAATCTGCTTCTTACATACTTATCTTTTCACATAGCCTTTTTCGTCATCTACGCTGCTTCTTATACACTTCTCTTTACACGGCATTTTTCTATATTTATTTCTTTATACGTTCTTTCTGACATAGTAATTTCTTGCTTTGGCTTTGTCGTAATAGGTCACCATGTTGTAAATGTGAAGACTAAAGAGAAGCACTAATTCAACCGCCTTTTCCATTTTGAGTTTGGGGTAGGTGTTGAGTTGTAACACCATTAAAAGGACCATAAAGATATGACATGTAATGTCAATTGTCCTTTGATATTTTAGGGACATCTATTGTAGACTTTTGACGCAATTACATCTCAGATGTTGAAATATGTAGTTTAGGATGAAAAAAGCAGTTAATTACATGTAGTGTTGGTCACGGGATAAGTCAATCTGCAAGTCTTCTTGAATTCTTATTTGTGATGAGGGTTATGATTTGCTTATTTTCCTCAAGATGGTTACATTTTTAAGACAACAGTGCTGCAATAATGAACTTCATATTCTTCAGCTTGAAGTGCTTAATCACCTTAATTTCCCCCTACATGGTATGAGTTCCCATAAGCCATTATTTGTTTTCATGTACAGGTCAACCTTGATCAAATATGTAGGTGTTGACTTATCTTCTCAATTTCAAGGGGCATTGGAGGAAAAAATTGTAGGTATGATTTAGTACATTTTATTTACATATTTCACAATACATATTACATCTGAGCTACAGGACAGCATTTCAACAAATTAACTACAATTTATCTACAGTGTTGTTTCTGTTTATTACAAATGATCTACAATTTGTTTAAGTTGTACACATTTATTGTAACAGAGAAGGAAACTATGCATGTGCACTCTCCAAAACAGGATGCAAAAGTTGGCATACAAGGAGAGCATTTAAATGAGGAGAAGAAGACTATGCCTTTGCAATCTCCCATTCAACAAGCAAATGTTATACAACAAGGAGACGAATGCAATGAAGATTTCAGTGGTATAACATGTTACAATATAATCGTAGGAAAAAAAAATAACTTTCATATAAGTTTCAGTTTTCCCTGAAGCGTTGAATGAAACGGCTTGGGAGGATGGCTCTACCAAAAGTACCCCTGCCTCCAGATGAGGCACTGCTGAACCCACCGGAATGACGAGGTCTCTTGTCAGACCCCTGACCTCCTTGAGCAAGAACCATCTCGACTCGCCTGGCGACATTGGCAGCCGCTTGAAAAGAAATTTCACTCCCAGTCTCCTTAGTCATCTACAATCTGAGCAAGTCCGTCAATAAATCTTCTCACCCTCTCTCTCTCGGTAGGAAGTAGAAGAAGAGCATACCGGGCCAAATCCACAAAACGGGTCTCATACTGAGTAATAGTCATACTGCCCTGTTGGAGACGCTTGAACTGACAGCGATGCTCCTCTCTCAATGTGATACGCAAAAACTTCTCTAGGAAGAGCTGAGAGAACTGGTCCCAAGTAAGAGCAGGCGACCCAGCTAGTCTGGTCAACAAATAATCCTTCCACCATTTCTTGGCGGAACCAGTTATTTGGAATGCAGCAAAGTCGACCCCATTGATCTCCACTATACCCATGTTCCGTAGCACCTCATGATAGCTGTCAAGATACTTCTGGGGATCCTCTGAAGTAGCACCACTGAAGTGAATTGGGAAGAGCTTGGTAAACCTGTCCAATCTCCACAAAGCCTCAGAAGACATAGCTGACCCATCATCGGTCTGTGCCGCAACAACCGGCTGAATTACTCCGACTGGATGAGCTGCTAGAGTCTGATACCGGAAGCCATCTACTTCGGAGCGGGAGTAGTAAGAGCATGTGCTCCTCCTCCAGCCTGAGAGATGGCCGGTGCCATGGGGAATGCGCCAGTCTGGGCCATACTCTCCATAAGGCCCACCAAAGCACTAGGGTGGCAATGAACCCCTCCGAAACCTGAGCTGGTCCGACAGGCACATCCTGGGCTGGAACCTCCTAATCAAACTCTACGTGAGGCTCCACCACTGGTGCTGCTGCTCGAGCTCTGGACTAAGCTCTGCGCCTGCCTCGGCCTCTGTCACGACCTCGGCCTCTGCCCCTCGTAGGAGTTGCCACTGGGGGGTCTAGCTGTTGCTCAACTGAAGATGCGGTACGCGTTCTCGCCATCTACGAGAGAACAGAATAGAAGGGCCCAATCAGCAATGATAGAACAAAAATCACACGATAAAGAAGAATAGAAGTAAAATTGTTCCTAACTCCATAACCTCCGGAAGATAAGTACAGACGTCTCTGTGCCGATCCTCCAGACTCTACTAAGTTTGCTCGTGACTCGTGAGACCTATGTAACCTAGTGCTTTGATACCAACTGTCACGACCTGAAATTTTCACCGTCGGGATCGTGATGGTGCCTAATATTTCACTTGCTAGGCAAGCCAACGTTAGAATAATTTATCCTTTTTAACAATTTAAATTTAATTAATAAAGAACTGATGTAACTGCAATAATCCAAATATAAATGCGGAAGCTAAAACTGTATAAAAAAAAACATCTGCTACAAATTCCTGAACCTAGTGTCACAAGTGCACGAGCTTCTAGAGTAATACATACAAGGGTCTGAAATAAATACAAAGCTGTCTGAATGAAAATACACAGCTAAATAAAAATAAAGAGGGGACTTCAGGAGCTGTGGGCGCTGAGCAGTTGTACCTCAAGTCTCCGCAGGCTATCCAATCTGAGCTCTCTAGTAGCCGCCGCTGGGACCGTCTCCAAAATCTGCACAGTGTGCAGAGTGTAGTATCAGTACAACCGACCGCATGTACTGGTAAGTGTCGAGCCTAACCTCGACGAAGTAGTGACGAGGCTAAGGCGGGTCACCTACACTACAACCTGAACGCATTATTTAATAATGACAGAAAAATGGGAATACTAAACAGAATTAAATTGCCAACTGAAAATGATAACCATCGCCTCAAGTCTAGAATCACCAATCTTTAATAATTCATATACAAATACCAAAGAGAAAACCAACACAACTCACGAAATGGAAACATATAGGTTATTGCGGCACGCAACCCGATCCCACCGTACACCCCATTCTCCTCCCTTATTACCTCATAATAGCATAAACAACAGTGAATATAAATAAAAGTGTTGCTGCGTGCAACCCGATCCCACCATATCACAATAACACAATCATAGTTCACCCTTATGCCACCAAACAAACCACCTTTATTACATCTGTTGCGGCGTGCAACCCGATCCCACCATATCACAATAACACAATCATAGTTCACCCTTATGCCACCAAACAAACCACCTTTATTACATCTGTTGCGGCGTGCAACCCGATCCCACCGTATTACAATAACACAATTATAGTTCACCCTTATGACACCAAACAATCCACCCTCATTACATCTGTTGCGGCGTGCAAACCGATCTCACCGTATCAATATCAAGTGGTCGGTATGCACAGTAAATTCATAATTCAAATCACGGAAACCCTCCACAATACTCAAACACCAAACTGAAACAAATAGGAAAGTTGTATGTCATGAAAGTTCACATAAGTAATACTACACAGCGAGACCAATTCAGAGTATTCAACAAAAAGGTATCGATAAACTAGCGTAAGAAAATAATAGGAGATAATGAAACTATGGAAAGAACAATATCATAAACAAGAGGAAACAATGTCTAACAAGTAGCAATTAGGCATGTAAACACACTTAGAGCATGTAGCAATTAAGACAGGGAAAGAGATAATATGAGAAAAGCGGGAAAACAGGAAAAACAGATAAATTGGCGGCGCATAAGTACTCGTCACCTCACATATACGCCGCTCACATGAATTTCACATAGCAAATAGTCCGAGGGTTCCTAATTCTCTCAAGTCAAAGTTAGACACAACACTTACCTTGCTTCAAAGACCACTCACTACTCAATCACATCCTTGCCTCTCAAACAAGCCTCCGGGCCAATAGAATCTAGCAAATTACCAACCAAACGATTCAAATTAAGTCTTAGGAATCACCCACGATTGCAAAAGATTCAATTTAGGTCATTATTGAAAAAGTCAACAAAAGTCAACTCCCGGCCCGCTTGGTCCAAACCTGAAATTCGGACCAAAACTCGATTACCCATTCACCCCCGAGCCCGGTTGTGTAATTTATTTTAGAATCCGGCATCAATTTAATGTCTAAATCTCTAATTTACCAAATCCCTAGTTTCTACCCAAAAAATCCCAATTTCACCATGAAAACCTTAGATTTTTGGTTGAAATCTTAGGAAAAGTAGTGAAAGATTGAAAGAAAATATGTTAGAATCACTTACCAACGATTTGGGGAAGAAGTCTTGGAAAAATCGCCTCTAAGGTTTTAGGTTTTGAAAATTTGAGAAATGAACCAAAAATCCCGTCCAAAGGCATTTTGATCAGTTGCAGGTGTCGTAAAATGCGAAGAACCTATCGCAAATGCGAAGGTTTCCACATTCCTGCTATCGTCGCAAATACGAAGAAAATCTCGCAAATGCGAGCCTGACCACTTCCGCAATTGTGACCAAACGATCGCATTTGCGATCCCTGCCTTCCCCAGTCCCACTTCGCAATTGCGAAGGATTGTTTGCAAATGTGAAAGTCACGAGGCCCGGCTATTCTTAGCAAATGCGATAAATAGCTCGCAAATGTGGAACCTGCAGATGTCGCAAATGCGATGCATGATATCGCATTTGTGAGATCAGAGGCCTACACCAGAAACGAAAACACCAGCAATGCTCTAAGTCCAATTTTCACTTTGTAGCCTATACGAAACTCACCCGAGCCCTCGGGGCTCCAAACCAACTATGCACACAAGTATTACAAACTTGCTCGCACGATCAAATCGCCAAATAACACCTAGAACTACGAATCGAACACCAAATCAAATGAAATTTTTAAGAATACTTTGAAGCTTCTATTTTCACAACCGAGCATCCGAATCACGTAAAACCAACTCCGTTTTTCATCAAATTTCACACACAAGTCATAAATATAATAATGAACCTGTACCGGGCTCCGGGACCAAAATACGGACCCGGTATCAACAATACCAAACATCAGTCAATCCTTAAATCATTAAACTTTCAAACTTTTAATTTTTCATCAAAATTCCATATCTCGAGATAGGGACCTTGGAATTTGATTCCGGGCATACGTCCAGGTCCCAAATTACTATACGGACCTACCGGGACCGTCAAAATATGAATCTAGATCCGTTTTCCCAAAACATTGACCGAAGTCAACTTAAATAAATTTTTTTAAGACAAAATTCTTATTTTTATCAGTTTTTAACGTAAAAGCTTTTCGAAAATACGCTCGGACTGTGCACGCAAATCTAGAAAGGCTAAAATGAGATATATAAGGCTTCGGAACACAGAATTGGATTTTAAAACATGAGATGACCTATCGGGTCATCACACATTCTCTATTCCAATGCAGATATCTGTATCTTGTCCTTACTAGTTGTCTAGTCAAGTATGCGGGGGATCGAATTACTAACCCTTGTAGCTATGTCAGTACTGACTGTAGAGCAACACTCATACAACTAGATTTGCATAGCGAATGAAAAACCTCGAATGAGATAAAAATGCACAGAAGGGTTGAGCTTATGCCTAACAGACTGCAATTGTGTATAAACTTCGATACCCCATGCGAAATTCGCATACTGCCCTGAGTCCACCAAGTAGAACCTAAAATGGTCTATCAAATCATTATCTTTCTCTGAAGGACAGAGGAATAATTCTATCATATAGAGAATACACAACTTGACTGCATCCTCATCATTAACCCAACTACGACTGGTTATAATTTGTTTCAAGTATGACTTTTCAGCTTTTTCTTTGTTCGGAAAATAGCTCCTCATTGTTTTACTGTCATACTTAGTTATGTAACCAAAATCCGTTACTTCTGTAAAACATCTAAGGCCAGTGATAAGGGCAAACTCCCTCAACTCAAAGTTCAGCCTCTCACCCTTTATCTCTGTTGTAAAAAAATGAGAACCTGATGCGTTCAATTCATATTTCATGAGAAGGTGAATTGCCTGATTTTGGATACATATTTTAGGCAATGAAAGAAAATGCCCAAAACATGTCTTCTTAAATAACTTTAACCCATTTTCAGACAATAACACCTTGATTTAGCCAGGAATAGCAGGGTCGGATAATATCTGGAATCTATTGATGCCATAATCAACATCATGTGGTGCATGTCACACCTTTTTTTTTTCGAGGGATATGGAATTTTTCCAATTAAAGTGACATTAATCGAAATGTGATTATTTATTTAATTTAGAGTTGCCATTTGGAGTATTTATTATGGTGTCCCAAGTCACCGATTTATTTTAAAATCTCAAATCGAGGAAATTGACTTTGTTTATGGTCCGCGAACACAGAAAACCGGATAAGAAATTTTGTTAACCCGGGAGAAGATGTGAGGCACTCTCAAGTTTCATGGTTTTAGCACGGTAGCTATTAATCATACTTGGCTTAATTAATTATTTAATTACGTATTTTAGAACCTATGTGTATTTTGCCTTTTATCGCTTTTAATTACTCGATTATTCGTGATTATGGAATTATATTGAAACGGGTCACGCGTACGTGTACTCGTTTTGTTTGGTGTGTCAAATTTATGTCACGCGTACGTGTACACAACTAATAACACTTATTATTAATTTTAAGATTGTTTATCAAAGTTGTGTGAACGCGTACTTTGCCTTTAACTTGAAAAATCATAATATATGTCACGCGAACGTGTACATAATCACGATAATTAATTTATTACTATGCGCCTAAAGCATATTAGTGATTATTAAAAATTATTTTTTCTAAACTAATTTTGAGATTATTGTAAGGTAATGAGATATGGATAATATTATGGAGGAAATGAAGTTAATCATTTATGGAAATGTAGGCTAGCTTGTAGCATTATTAATATATGGGCCAACTTATTCATTTGGCCCAGATCCAATTCTTTTGATGTCACCCCCACGATCCAACACATGAAAGAACTCATTTCCAACTATCTCGAAAGACCAGCTAGCCCAATTCTTCTTCTTCTTCTTCTTATTACCGTTTCTATGCTTAAGGGATAATATTCAACTTTGGTTATATAAACTAAAATAATATTAACTCATAAAATAAGAAATTAAAAAATAGAACCAAAGCAACAAAACATCAATTAAGGAATAAAATGCTAAAAAGAAATATTAAAACAAAATTCCTTTAAAACGTTAACCTATTTACATCCTAATTCTGATGTGGACTTCTTAAATGATTTTAAATTAACAACATAGGTTAGAAGTTCGTTATCCAAATGACTGATTTTGACAAGAATTGGCCTCAAATTACTACTGCTTAATATTTATTAAAGACACCCGTCTAATGTAGACATGGCAAAATGATTAAAAATAATAATTATCCACCCAATCCAACTCACTAAAAATGGGTTGGATAACTGACTTTTTAAAACCGGGTCGAATATGGATAATTATCCATATTATCCACTAAAAAAATGAATAACCAAATGGGTAACCAATGGGTAAAATATGGATGATAAATTTTAAAGCTTTTCAGACCTATTAGAATTCACTCGCTACTATCGCTATTTTCACCACTTCAATAGAAAACCCCTAAATTCCCAATTCCTCAAATTTCTCCCCTTCTTCCCAAAGTATCGTCGGCAACTTCTCCGGTGAGTTCCATCTTCCGATAATTCTCTCCTCTCTCTGACTTCTTCGCTTTCTTCTTCTGACATTGACCTATCCAGGAGGAGTAAGCTTCAATTTCCTTTCACAAGATTTTGGTTAGTCGGAACTCGAAAGTTTTTTGAAATCCCAGTGGGCAAACCAAGAGTGTAAAAGTTAATGTTGATGAGACTACCTTTGAGCAAAATGATTTGCTTGTTATGATTTTGTGAAAACGGAACACCTACCAGGAGTATTTAAAGTTTCAAACAAGAGTGGAAGTGTTACAACAATCTCAAAGGTGAGAAAAACACTAAGTAGACTAAGATTAGATGTAATTCTTAACTCCAGGGCACTGCATTTTCTATTACTTATTTAATAAATTGATTTATATCAAGCCTAATTCATACTGTTTACTTCATCTTTAGATAGAGATGTCGATGGAAGGTATTGCTGATTCTTGTGAACAGAGCTCTTCAAATACGCTAAAACGATCAAAAAGACAAATTTTCACTATTTGGGTCTTTTGTGAAGGTAACAGAGCCTAGTATTTCTAGTTATAGAAAGTTTAAAGTCCAATGTACGCTTTGTAAAAACCACTACATACACGATCCTAAATTTGGAGCATCAAATTTGAAGCGCCATTTGTTGATAAAACATCCGTTGAATAATGCAAAAGAGGGTCATAATGAACCGATAGATCAGAAAGTTTATCGAGAGAAAATATCATTAGCCATAGTCAGGCATAATTATGCTTTTAGTTTGTAGAACATAAAGGCATCAGGGACCTTCATTCGTATTTAAATCCAGTAGCGAAGCACATATCAAGAAACACAACCAAGTCAGATATCTTGAATATGTATGCAAGCGAAAAAGAACTTTTAAAAAATGAGCTTGCATTATTCCTAGTAGAGTGTGTTTAACATCATATATGTGGATTTCATTAGCATCTAATGGCTACATGTGTGTAACAACTCATTATGTGGATTTAAACTAGGTTCTTCAGAAGAGGGTGTTGATTTTTCGCCATGTTCCTCCTCCACATTCGGGTGCGATTTTAGGTCCCTTATTGATTAACTTTCTTAAAGAATGGGAAATCGAAAAGAAAATCTTTACCCTTACTTTAGATAATGCTGCTTACAATAATGTTGTAGTGAATAGTTTAAAGAATCATTTTTCTTTGATGCGTTCACTAATTTGTGACGAAAATTTTTTCCATGTTCGTTGTGGGAATCACATTTTGAACTTAATTGTTAAGACGGGCTTAGAGAAGGCTGATGCAGCTATTGCGAAAATTAGAGAAGATGTTAAGCATATCAAGAATTCAAAAATAAGAATAATAAAATTTGTGGATTGTCTTAGTAATATTGGTCTACCATGTTCTAAGAAGCTACGCCAAGATATGCCTATTCGGTGGAACTCCACCTACCAAATGCTTGAAAGTGCTCTTCTTTATCGGCAAATTTATATTCACTATAACTTGCTTGATATTGATTTTAGACATGGTCTTTCTGAAGATGAATGAAAAATGGTCGAGAATATAGCTAAGTTTTTAAAGCTATTTTATGACATTACGACCTTGTTTTCTGGATGTAAATACCCAACGGCTAATTTGTATCTTCCTAATGTATGGTGAATTGAAATGTTGTTGGAAGAACAAAAAACAGTGGAGATTCAGTGATGAGTGAGATGGACACTTTGATGTTGGGAAAGTTTAAGAAATATTAAGAGTCATATAGTGTCATTTTATCTATAGCTATTGTCCTTGACCCTCGATATAAATTGAAGTTTGTTAAGTTTTGCTTTTCCAAGCTTCATCCTAAGGAGATTGCTAATGAAAAAGTGAAGGCTATTGAAGAGAACTTACAATTATTGTTCAAAGAATACTTGATACCTTCGACTACAACCTCGTTATTGGGGGATCATGCTTGTAGTAGTGGTATCAATAAAATGAGGGATGCATTTGATGAGTTTGATGGGTTTGAAAGTCAGTTGGAGTCAAGTACCAGTAAAATACAACTGGACTTGTATTTGAGGAAGCTAATCTTGACCGTAAAATAAATCTGAATCTGGATGTACTTGGATTTTGGAAGGATAACATGCAAAGGTATCCAGAACTCTCATTAATGGCACGAGATATCTTGAGTGTTCCAATCACCACAATAGCCTCTAAATCTGCATTTAGCATAGGTGGTCGTGTCATTGGAAAGTTTCGAAGTTCTATTCTCCCCGCAAATGCCGAGGAAAAGCTATGTATTAGGGATTGGATTTGTGGAAGAGAAGATAAATTAATCTTCTCTAGATTGGTTTATTTTATTTTCTGAATAACTAATAAACTGTAATATTTTATATTTTTTTCTTTTTAAATTGTATAAGATCTTGATGATGGATCCGACTCTGATGAAGAAGATGAGATGCTATTGATTTTGAACCTTATCTTGCGAAACTTAGAGGTAAGAGGACCCTCTGTTGTTCTCTTTTTAATTTCTTGTACTTTTGGGTTTCTATTGAATCAACTATTCTAATATTTATGATGATCTGCTGCCAAGAAAAGTACTGTATCTGATGATAGCCACTTTTGATTGTTGGCCATACTATTTTACTTGGTAATTGGATGTGGTATTTCGATCAAATGTTGTGCTTACTGGTGCTAGTTTAATATTTCTAGTGTTCAATTCCTTTGTGACTAATCCCACGAGCATACGCTGACTCCTTGACATTAGCCCATGTTGTCTTGTGCTTCATCTTAAAACAAGTTGTACACTTGTTATAGAGAAAGCATTTTCTAGAAATACTGCTAATAGTCCTATGCAAATAAGAAGCAAAACAAGTGACTTATGAGTAAAATAAATCATGGTTTCTTCTAGTGTATGGGAGAAAATAGAAAAAATGGGCAGCCTTTATATCATTAATATGAGCTTTTTTAGTTTTGAATCGATTTTTCATAGAAGTGCATTTGGTTGGATTCTGTATAGTTGAGAAGAAATTTGGTCTCAGTTTTTGGTTTAGCATGAATATTGAATCTTATTTAAATAAAAATTCAACATATTGCAGTCACTTCTTTCTATATACTTTATATATTTGGTTTATAAGAAAGATAATTGAGGTTGGCACTACTTAACTTTTCCAGCCACTTCATGTGTCACAGCCTCCTCTGTCACCCTTTGTGTCACATGAGAGTATTGAGGTTGATGATTACCATACTAGGATTAATGTTAGATCCATATCCTTGAATATTTTCTCGAGAGAGGAATCAGAGCATATTCTTAGAGAGTTTAGAGGTAGGATAACTCATCTGAATTCTTCTCTCATGCAATTATCGCTATCATGATTCGTGCACCCGGACTTGGATGAAACCTGCAGTATTCAGTCTCTCTAGTGCCACTATGGAGATACTACATAATTTTCATATCAATTTTTTTGGTAATCAAGAGACTTCTATTATCTAAAGTACTCTACATCACTACTAAAAAGGATAGAAATTCAACTAAGTAGCTTTCTTTCTAACTTGTTAATCACACTGTCTCTAACAAAGATCTCTTGAATGATCATCTTGATGATTCTATATGAGGTAGTTGTTGCATTTAAGAGAAGGATATTCATTCTTCTTTAGTTACAGTCAAGATGACTGATATTGTGAAATGTATCATACCTACATTGTTTTTTGGAATTCTGCAGCAAACTTCAATATCTAAAGAATGGGTGTAAATATCACGAAGCATCTCCTATTATCTATTTTAAGGTGCACTATTTTTTATTCCTGCTAGTGCATTTCGATGTATTTTGCTGGTGCATTTTATTGTATGTTGTAGGTGCATTCAATGTATTTTGTTATCTGATTTAAAGCGCATCATTCTTGATTCCTGCTAGTACATTTTAACGTATTTTGCTGGTGCATTTCAGTATATATTGCTGGTGCATTGAATCTATTTTGTTGTCTTGATACTTACTTTTTTCTCTTGGTTGCAGTGATTAAAAAAAAAAGGAACTACAATGTGAACTTGCAGATGATAAAATGGATTAGGGAACGTGAAGATGAAGAGAATGGATGAGAGAATTTTAGTGAATTGAAGATGAAGAGTTTTAGTGAACTTTGTATATTTTTTATATTTAATCATAGTACTCAGTTAGAAAAATTAAAGTCACATATTTTGATATTGTTTAACTTTCTATAAATATTACCTTATCAGAAAGAAATTGCTATAAATATGTGAACCATGTAGCTAGGAACTCATTACAAATTATTGAAAAATTATTTCATTAATGTTCTTCTGTTGCAAGTGGCAGCAAATTTATATTAGAGCTTGAGGCTAATGTGAAGCCATGGATGGATAATACGATTACTCATTTTATCTGTCGGTTAATTCATTTATTATCCGTATTAAATATGGGTCGGGTCGGATAATTTATCATTTTTTTCATTACCCGTTTTCGACTCGCCCCATAACCGACCCGACCCGCCCGTTTGCCACCTTTACTCTAATGTATTAACACAATAAACTAAATTGTGCCCCCATTTTTTATAAAAGAAAGATAAGAAAAGCCGATACAAAATTAATGCAAACAAAATATAAGCAAATTTAAGTGAGAGGAAACATGTACGGAGAAAACATTTTCAAGCAAGAACAAAATAGAGCCCAGGTGCTAATTGATAAACAGAGAAAAATGAAGAACCTTAATATTAAACTTTCAACTTTTGATTTTTTGACTGATGATTTGCTCCAAAACAATATGGAATCGCGGAGGAGACCTCAACGGAAAGACACACATTGTGGACCTCGAACTTTTGCTAAAACTCAATCGACCTCAGCCGAAGCTTCGTTTCATCGGTAAAAATAGAGGGTAAAAGTGTCTACTTTTGTTCTGTTTTATGGTTGTCTTGTGAGTTGGTTTTGGATGTTAAAAGGGGTAAAAGAAACTGATTTTGATGGAGCTTGGGATGGGATTTTGGCTAGCCTTTTCGACGCTTTCTTCTTGCAAAGGAAGAAGACGGGAGTTTTTTTTCTCTCTTTGTTTTCAACGTCTCCCTCCCAGGTGCCCTCTATCTCGTCCCCCCCAGATATGCCTCACTCCTCTCGTTTTTGTTTCTATGTGTGTTTTTATAGTTTGTAAGATGAATTGGGGAGCAAGCAAAGCTGGTCATGTGTGGAGAGTAGGGGTGGCATGTGGGTCGGGCCCGATCCTAAGTGGGCTTCGCGGGCCCGGTCCTAAGTGGACCGATCCTAAGCGGTCCCGGGCTTTGCGGGCTTCTCATTGGAACCGGTCCGGGACCGGAACCACGAACTAGTGGTCCCGTGTTAAGTGGGCCGGTCCCGGGCCCAAACGATCCTAAGCGGGCCCAACAAAAACTTTCTATTTTTAAAATTATTTTTATACAAGTTAGAGAAAAAAATGGTAATAAAAATATCTAAGGCAATTCTTAGTAAATTATATTATAGAATTGTCACC